CCTGTTTGCCGTTCTTTTTATCAAGGGTATGTTTTTTCACGGCTGCTAATATTTGTAAAGAGTCTTTGTTTCGAAAAGAGGTCAATACGGTGATTTTATACAAAGAATGACTTGAGACGCGTCATTATTTTCAGAGGGAACTGATTAAAAACTGAATAAATAAAAGAAATAAAACCAAAGAGGTGTGTTTTTAACGAAAAGTTCTTTGAACCGCTCTAAGCTTATTTGTTTCAACAGCGGTGAAAATAAAAATCCGCTGAGAGGGCATTTTTATATGTTTACAATAGAATAAAAAAACACACACTGAAGCAACACTTTCATCCAGAAGCATTAAAAACGCGTTAATCATGATATCATATGAAATAAAGGAAAAATGTTACAGATCGGCATATACCGCAATTATCATCAATATAAAAATGGAACCTCGAAACGCGCCTTGTTCGTTTGACTGTGCAAACGTGAATTTTTAGAAAAATATACGTTACATTTTTAAACAAAAGGGCTGACGATATCTAAATAATAAAAAACACCATCAAACCAAAAACGATTTATGTTGACTACTTCGGGAACTAAGATCTTGAATGATATATTACCTTATTCATCGTATTATGTAATATAACCTTTGATTGATTATCATTTACAACAACTTTTGGATTTCGTTTTTTTGCAGAGTAATTATCAAATATTTATACGTTATTAAAATCCGTAAACCTTTATAAAATGTTATTATAAATATCGTTTTCCGAAATTCTTCAGATTGTCGATAGATTTTACCTGTTAACGACAAACAATGGGCAGTTACAAGGAAGAGTTGTAAAGGCCGTGATATTTAGAAAGAAATGTTGAATGTTATAAGGCAAAAAGTTATCTGAATTAGTTAAATTTTTTTCTAGGTGATTGTTATAAGGCAAAAAGTTATCTGAATTAGTTAATTTTTTTCTAGGCTTCAAGGGCCTATTAGCAAGAAGGTAGGACATGTTTCTAATATTTTCCCATCTAGTATTATCAAAACAAATTTCAATAAAGGCGTCTGTAGCAGCCTCTAGCTGGTAGAATGCTCAAGGTGCGACGTTTGGGTTATAAGCAGAGCGAGGGTATGCGATCCTTCGTTTTCTGCATGCTGTCTTTGTGTTGTATGTATTACCAAACTATTGATAATCTTTTAGTCGGATCCCACCGTTTTTCAAATATATGAAGGTCGGAAGCTGTCTGTAGGTTTCAGAAAAACATTTTCTTTATCGTGCCAACGTTTCGATCTTTATTGAGATCATCTTCAGGGCTCAAAGTATTTGTCTTCTGTGTAATTGTGCCATTCTTGCGTGTCGTGTTGAGATGGTGCCACTCTCGACACGACACGCAAGAATGGCACAATTACACAGAAGACAAACACTTTGAGCCCTGAAGATGATCTCAATAAAGATCGAAACGTTGGCACGATAAAGAAAATGTTTCTCTGAAACCTACATCACACCAGACCGCATCTCACGATTTCTAAATAAATGTGTAGTATGTTGTTATAAATGTGTTCGCGCGCGCGGGAACATGTGTGGAATCATTGTGTTAAATTAGGTAACTGGTTTTATTTTTTTCCCTTTACCGTTTATTACTTTCAAAGTCCAATTAAATTCTATCTTTTGAACAAAATTACCCCCAGTTAGGAAAATAAACGTTACATTTTACGCAAATCAGGTTTTAAATTGTTCGTGGGATACTGTTGAAAAATCAGCAAAACTAAAGGGCTGACGATGTCTAAAAAATAGAAACCATCATCAAACCAAGAACGATTTATGATGACTACTGCAGGAACTAAGCTCTTGAATTATATATTACCTTATTCATCGTATTACGTAATATAACCTTTGATTGTCATTTGCAACAACTTTTGGACTTTGTTTTTTCTACAGAGTAATAATCAAATACTTATACGTTATTAAAATCTGTAAACCTTTATAAAATGTTGCTATATATACTAGATAATATTTATCTAATAAAAATAAATAAACAAACACTACCTGCTACTAATTATTTTATACAAAAAACGTTACACGTGTATCTAATTAACATTAAAATGTATTACAGCTAACGTTTCAGAATTTTCCCATGACATCAATGAATAACGTAATCTACGGTTAACTGCTTTTATTAATGCTCTCCTCGATGATTTAATTCAATCACTGGCCATCTTAGGAGGAGTTAGTAGTTCAAGGTTTTTGTTCTTGAAATACTCGAAAGATAAACTGGATTATTTCGTTGTCATAAAAAATAGGTTTCGCTTCTCAAACAAATTGAATTGTGTTCGGTTATTCGCGTGTAATAACCGTGTCGAATCGAATGGACAAACAGCACGATTGACTTGCTACATGACTGTCGTTTTAGCATAGGCGGAGAGGTTTGTTTTTAGCGATTAAAGACGAATGGTGAAAATAATGAAAGTCTTAAAACGGTTTGAGCCAAAAAATAAAGATCTGTATAAATCATTTGGTATAAAAAAAATCAAGCATAAGGGCAATTTGAAAGAAAATACTCAGTTTCTTTGTTAAGCGACTTTGAAACTCATGAATATATAATTTTGTGAAATTTTTCGCCATCCAATACCAACGAGCTTTTTCCCAAAAAACACAAGAGTGGTGAAAACTTTGAAACTACTCCACCGATCCACTGAAAACTTCTCAATTGTTTAGAACTTCATAAAATAAACTTAATATCGCTAACATGCCCTGCGTAAATAAATTAGAATCGGAGAAATAAAATAAAAGGCATGAGCAGTTTTGTTGACTTCGTCTCTATTTTTATTACTTATACTCAAAACTTTACTGGTAATGGGCAGAAATAAAACAAATTAAGACACAACGGTCGTAATAAAGTAGAAATTTGGTTGAAAATCAGAGTTGTTATGAATTTTTAGGTGCAAACATCGGATATACGCGAAAAAACTGTCCCGCTTGCAGCGGATCCAGTTCAAAATTTTGCATTTCTTTTATTACATAATAATTCTTATTTAGGGCTTTTAAAGCGTGCCTAAAACGAATCCAAATTGTTTTTTGGTTATACTTTACTGGAAGCATCTTACAGTATTTGTAACTTTTAATATAACCAGTCGACGAACGATAGTTAATCTATTGATATATAATAACCTTGAAATACACTCACAAAAATGTATTCTATAAAATTACTTCAACGAAATAGAAGATTTTTGGAGTTTAGGTCGAATTTATATAGTAACAACCATGCAGATTAGTCCAGAAAGATATTGTTTTCCGGAATTCTTCTGATTGTCGATAGATTTTTTTGTTGACCACAAACAATGGGTAGTCACAAGGAAGAGTTGTAAAGGCTGAGATATTTAGAAAGAAATGTTGATTGTTATAAGGGAAAAAGTTACTTGAATTAGTTAAGTTTTTTCTAGGCTTCAAGGGCCTATTAGCAAGAAGGTAGGACATGTTTATAATATTTTTCCATCTAGTATTATCAAAACAAGTTTCAATAAAGACGTCTGTAGCATCCTCTTGCAAGTATCTTTCCCTCAAAACATGTCCCGTATACAGGAAAACATGATGAGTAGAAGCTCAAGGTGCGACGTTAGGGTTATAAGCAGAGCGAGGCAATGCGATCCTTCCTTTTCTGCGTACTGTTTTGTGTTGTTTGTTTTACCAAACAATTGATAATCTTTTACTCGGACCCGACCATTTTTCAAATATACGAACTTATTCTCTTCCGAAAGTGTCATAATTTTTATTTTCATTTGTGAGTCCTTTTTTTATCGTCTATAAATGTGTAGTATGTTATTTTATAAATGTGTGTGTGGTATGTTGGATTGTGTGGAGTAAGTTCTATATGTTAGACTCTTCTGTAGTATAACACTTCAACCTATTTTGTGCTAAATTGTTTGACATGTGTTGGGACATAACTTATGTATACGTTTTTGTTGTTATGAATCATAAATAGTATATAATTTGAGTAGTATTGTATTCAAAAGAAATAATCCTTTTAATAATATAAAAACATACACACTGACACCAAAAATTGAATTTTTTAAATAAAAGATCAGCCGAGGCAACGGGGTCTACTTGTTGACACGTATTCAAAAATAACATTTAATCTGTCAAACCAACCCAGCGAGGATAGGCAGACCAAAACGATCAGTAACGACCAAATTACTGGTTCGGCACCACGCAGACCATACGAAGAAATGTCATAATATTAAAAATATGTAAAGTAAAAAGTATGTAGTTACAAACATAATTTGTACTGTTCTATTTAATGTTTCTTCAGTACTTTTCCATCGAATTTGAATCCAATGGTAATTGTTTTACTAGACATAATATATATTTTTTTCTGATACTTTTGTAAAATAATGGTGTCATGTTATTATGTCATTCGTGCGGTCGACTGTCGAGGCAAATTTATTTTGGATTGCGGTTAATGCGTTCGTTCTACACGAGTTTAAGGATTTAGGGGTTCAGATTGGTCAGGACACGAAGGCCTGTACGACCTTCCTCAGGGTAAACAGAATAAGACCCTCGCACGTTGAAGACAACACTACTGCGCAATGTTTACCCCTGATTTTTCAACTCGAAGGGGGATCACTGTGGGAAAAAGCGAAAGGGATCGTACCACAAGGGTTCAAATTCAACGATATTCTAAATTAGAGATGTTGAAAATCAAATAAGAAGGTAGTAAATTTTTTGGGTTTTTTAGAAGGGTTGATTTTGGAGGATATAAAGATCCAGGAGTTACTGTAACAAACATTTTGGGTTTGGTATGGAGTGTCACGTGGTGGAATCGTTTTATTATTGATGATGAGTGCACGTTTGAAAATATGATAATTTCGGTTGTTGTTATTGAATGTTTAGTTTCGACTTGTCAGTGTTTGATACGCGTGGTTGTTAGACGCCGGGAATATGGAAGGAACGGCACGATTTTCTGTCACGGGCCAAAAGTTTTCCATTACTACATTCTTTGTATTTTATCGCGAAAAGATAATGTAAAATATCACGTACCTGGAGTCGCTTCCAGGGCTATGGATAGACCGGAATGATTACTCCTGCTCTTCTCCAGCACTTCCATCCTTCACATATCCGGTCCGTCTGTCGGATTGAAGATTCCGATGCAGCCCCGAGGCGAACGCCATTCCGCGTCGGCGGCCGAGTTCTGATGATGCCGGGCCGGCGCAGTCCGACGTCGTTTATTGAGCCGAAAACCGAGAGGCCGTCCCCGTCCTTACCCCACTAGAGTTTGGAGTGTAGAGCGTGGAGTGTGGCCTCGTGGGGCCCCTACTCTCTACCGACGGAGAAGGACAATGCACAATGCTTTTCCCCTCCTTCCGACCTAGTCGATAACAATGTTGCTAATTTAGCCTCATGTCAATCAATAAACATCAAAGAGTCGTCATAAAAAATCTGCAGTTTTGACGGCTTCCGGAAAAGGAGCAATCTGGGACCAAACAATCCTTGACTCTGCCATTGCTAGACCTCAGCGCAACCTTTATACTTTCTATTTATTTAATTCATCGACAAATCTTGATATGTCACGATCTTTACGTTCTAGCATTTTTGGATTGAGAATTTTAGTATTAGTTTCAAAAATATATATTTGAACTTGAACGAATTTCAGGATACTTTCTAAGTAATTAGAATTTTGGAAATCATTAGTTTTTGTATTTCCGTTTTATTTCATTGAACAGACTATTTTTCAATTAGATTTACACTTACATTATTTTAATTTTTGAAAGTTTTCATACTTATACCACGTTGTACTCAGGACCACATATTTTTCATTGCAATTTACGTTCTCCATAATTAAAATTGTTTATAAGCCAAATAAACCTTCCTTAATAAATAAATCTTCCTAGTTCCAATCGACCCATCAGTCTTATTTCTATCCTTGCCAAAATTCGAGAAAAAATACTTCTCCGACGATTATTGCCAAGAATTGAAAATTCTAATATTATTCCAGATCGTCAGTTTGAACTCCCCACATTTCACTTGACAACTCAACAATTGTATCGTGTTGTTGACAAGCTGACAATATCGCCTCTTCCTTCAAACAAAAACAGCATTGCTGGGGTGTCTTTCTTGATTTAGAACAGGCCTTCGATCGAGCCTGGCACTCGGGCTTGCTTTGGAAACTGAAGAGCATCCTCCTTCATACGTACTCTCACACTGAGATCTCACCTTATATACGTATTAGGGAGGGTGTTCCTCAGGGAAGAATACTTGGCCCATTTCTATTTTCAATATACACTGCAGATATTCCTATACATGTTAACACTTCACGACATACATTGTCTGAACCTTTCAGAAATCTATCATTTCTACATTCGCTGATGATACAGCAATTCTTACACGTAATTTCCACTACCTACCACTGACCTTGTGAGTTATCATGGTCTTTTCATGGTAAACGACTGACTTGGAATCCCCACACAAGACTGAATAGCAAACAAACCGACGTTATAAATTATTAAAAAGATTACTTCACTCACGATCAAAATTAGACTTTGAAAACAAACTTTTAATTCCCAAGACAGTGATTAGACCTCTCTGGGCGTTGTGAAGTATGAGGCTTAACCAAGAATTCCAATTCCCAACGTCTTCAATCAATCCAATCTAAAATTCCCCATCAAATTATGAATGCTCCTTTTTACATTTCAAATCACACTATTCATAACGACCTACATCCCGTTTGTACATGAACTCATCAAAAACCGCTATAAGAAATTTCATCAATCACTGAACACACACAATAATCTATTTGTACGACAGCTATCACTTCCAACCCTACCTGAAAATCCTCCAAGACGATTTAAGGGAAAGTGGCCTCGAGACGTTCTCATTGAGTGAAAATTGAAAAGATTTCATTGTGAAAGTGTTGCCACTGGGCAACTTCTACAAGAGACTCAAATCACAAATTCATGAAAATATTTACTTAATGCAGTATTTGTAGTTGTAAATATCAAACGTAATAAAAAGTTTAATTTTAGGTAATAGGTATTTAATTATCATATATTTGAAGTTGAACGAATTTCAGGATATTTTCTAAGTAATAATTACGAGGAATTTTGAAAATCTTTAATGTATGTATTTCTGTTTTCTTATTTCATTGAATAGACTATTTTTTCACTTACTACATTATTTTATTTTTCAACAGTTTTTTATGTAATAGGTAAAGGCGAGAAAAATGTTGCCTGAAGCAACATTTCTTTCTCAATACCACAATCTTCACAAATCTTCCCTAAAACAAATACCCATTGTTTATCGTTAACAGGTAAAATCTATGGGCTACAGCTTGACGAAAGTCGGAAAAAGATGTTTCTAGACTGTGCACTTGTCTGCACCTTTGTTATATTTTAAATTTGACCTAAACTAATTTTTTTTTTTTAAGATAGTTCCTACTCACAGTAAGGGTACTTACTGTACAGTACAGTAAGTACCCTTACTGGAGTAGGAACTATCTTTTTAAAAAAGATTGAACACCACATTCACTCCATCATTTATCATTTCCATTAAAAATTTAATTTTGTTGAAGTATTTGACACAATTTTTTAAAATATGGTTTTCTGAATTTGTTGCCCATGTATTTCGAGGTTCTTTTTTTATCTTTTGTATCAATCAACATTTTTTCAACGTATGTTATGAAAATAATATCGATTTTACATATTAGACGAGCAATATGGCTTCGTCTGCACAAATTACAGGCAAATTCATACAGCCTGCCGGAAAAAGGGAGCTCCTTCAAAAATATTACAATTTGGTTTGTGGCGACTAATATCACAAAAACAGTACGCAAAGATGGAAGGATTACCTTGTCTCGTCATGCACACCTAACGCCGCGCCTTGAGCATTTTGATCATGATGCTTTCCAAATAATGTGACAATATTTAAAAAGACGAAGCTACGGATATCGGATCATCGATTTTAATGAAACTTTTATGGTGATGTTAAGTAGAAAAATTTACATGTCCGAGCGTTCTTGTCAAGAGTCTTATGAGCACAGAAAGAAAATATTTCAGTAATTAACATAATTTTTTAAAAATACAGATTTTGGCCTTTTTATTTATGTATTTTAAGCGTATAAAATATTTCATTGGTTTTTTTTTTAAATGAAGGATTGTATTTAACCAAATTATATGTATACAAGTTAAAGAAATCAAATCGGCTTTCCAGTATAACAAGATCAAAAACATTTTGGTTCAAAAAAAGACAAACAAATCGGATTCGATGTAAGCATCCTTTAAAAACTTCAAAAACGAATATACAGTTTTTGGACTTGATTACGCAAGGGCAATTTTTTTCTCCTATAGCCGATGTTTCAAGGTTCTAAACAATTGTAAAGTTTTCGGTGAATTGGTGGATTAGTTTTAAATTTATAAAGTTATCACAATTTTTTCGATTCTATTAACACGTCAATTAACACTTCCATCCCTACCAGAAAATTCTCCAAGGTGGTTGAAACGAAAGTAGTCAGAGATCTTGTGAGTGAGTGATTTATTTATTCGTTGTGTTGTGTAGGAGTAAAAGTGTTGCTTGGAATATGGGCTGTGTCCTGTGTTAGTTTCAACCAATCCATGGCGATATGCGGTTTAGAGAGACTTGTTCCTTAAATGATGCACCGTACTTCATAAAATACCACCATTCGAATAACAATAAGCTTCGAAATCAGTGATGAGGTTCCCGTTAAAGCGACGTCAAATTTACCAGTGAGAGAGCACAAAAAAAATTGTGTAGTCCACCTGTTGAGCTATATTCTAGTTTTCTCGTTGAATCCTGACCTATTGGCGGAAATTTATCCAAGAGACGGGAATTTGAAGTCGAGACTTGAGATCAGTCGAACTAATGACGAGGTTTCAATCTGAAGGAGTGTTGTCATTGGGCGACTTCCCAAATACTCGGTTGTCCTTAAATGGACAATGAGGATCTTTAGAGTCCGTACCTAGCTCGTGGCCTTCCCGGACGTTTTGATTCTCCAGATGAGAGATGACGCACCTCCGCTAACGACTGAACGGGAGTTACCATCGCAAGTGTTGGTGTAGAAGTCGTCCCAGCCCCGAGGAGTCAAGACGAACCTCACTCCCCGCTTGTTCATTCCGAATGAATGGTCGGGTCTGCATTGTTCATCAGAAGTTCTACCCAAGGTGGCTGAAATGCATCAGCCTGGTCACCCACGGACTCTCTAGATAGAGAAGGCGACTTTCTCTCCCAGAGTATTAAGGCTCCTCCAGCGTAATTCCGGAATTGCTAACCACTCCGTAGAGGAGACTGCCTTCGGTAAAGGAAGCCCTTGCAGGCACCACCGACCATTATCTGTTCCCATCCGCCATTTCTCACGCATTCGAGGGATTTCGACAGCGTAGTCTGAGCGTCCTCAACGCTATACGCTTCAAAGGTCCGATCCTTCGTATCCCGTGAGGCCGGGTGTTGTAACGAAGGTCATACGCAAGTGCTTAGGCGGAGGTCAGTTAGAAGAACATCCTCTTCTCTAAGTTCCCGCCAGGAACATCGCCACTACGAGTCCGTTCCCATGCACTTGGAATATTTTCTGCTACCCCGTAGTTCAGATGATTATGGTCCCTCCCTCGTCTATGCAGACAGGATCTGGTCTCCTAACCCTCGTGTGCCTCTGATAAAGCACCGGCCGTCCGCTGCCGACCCGGAGGCCGAGAGGAATTCAGCTTGTGCTTTAGAGAGGTTGCCACGTCCTCAAGGTTGCACCATTATTTTGCGCCTGGATACCCCCCTTGCATCCAAGGTTTGGGATAGGTCTCAAGGAAGTGTGCCGAAGGACCTGGATTGAGAAAGGGATGACTTGTCGTACATGTGACTCATACGACAATCAGCATAAATCGAAAATATTTACTTAATGAATATTTATAGTTGTAAATGACAAATAAATGTAATGAAAAATTAAATTTTTTTTTTAGTTAAATCGATATACTTTACGTTAATCCTACCGGCTTTTTCAAACGATTCGTTTTATTAAGATAATTCTTCGAATCGATACATTTTCGTTGTGTATGAAATTTACTCATTCCTTCGTGGCCTGTTCGTTCGATATGGTGTGAGAACGGGTGCACGTAATGAAATTCAGTTTGTTCGCGCCCAGGCCAAAGGATACTGCAGGGCAAACATTGTCTCTGTAAACTTTAGCAAAGAGGGTTCCTTTCAAGGGTAGAACATTTTTGCACTTTTCACATTAAGTGCTGTATAACGTTTCAAAAAATTCAAGCAGCGTAAACCCGATAAAACGTTGAAAGATTCCATTGTTTTAATTTGGTTGAAGCTTAAAG